TCATTCTTATGAACTTGAGACCTCGGCAGTCGTTCGAGCGGAAGAATATTTCAAGCAAAAGCTATATGGTCATCATTTTATTGTTTTCACGGGTGGCAATTCTTTCAAAGCTTCTTAGTTAAAAAAAAAAAAAAAAAAAAAAAAAAAAAAAAAAAAAAAATAACACCGAGAGTACATAGATGACCCTGAGCAGGGCACTTCCAAGAGCGACGAAAGCAAGGCTCAAGTAGTTAATAAGTCTGTGCAGTTTGTAGAGGTAAATCAAGGGTGGTTAGCGGTAGAACAAAAACGTGATGCATATGTTCAAGATATTGTTGCTCAGCTCTTAAATAATAAGTCTCCCGATTCAATTAGTCACACCTACGATGTTAGAAACAATATGCTATATCGAAAAAAATTGAGCGAAACAAAGTTAGTCGTTGGTAACCCATCGTCCATCAGTCCCTTGTATGGACTTAAATCAACCATATCCATACTGAGATAGACACGTTTAGTTTCTTGATGGAGTGCAACGCAGGCAGGTATTTTTAGGTGTTCTGGGATTTGGTCCGGTCACCTTTTGGGATTTAGTCCTCTAGTTCGGTTACCGTCCACTTTTTCAATCACTAGCGGACGTTTAAAGCTGTCCGTAGTTCTGTCAGGGAACTGACCAATCAACGCCAGTATGTGCTGCAAATAGATATTAGATAAGCGCTGACCATATTTTGATGTATGCGTAACATACTTCGCCATCACCACATTCCTAAGGCATCAATTCTTTGCCTGTCAACGACTTTCATAGTCCACGTCTTTGCACTATACAGAATCGGATAGCTAGATAGATAGAAATATAGAGAAGGCAAGCGTTCGTATCAGATGCATTTTTGTTCCATTAATAATTTTCCTATCTCTCCAAATTTTATTCAGTGGGGTTATTGCTATTTTGGCCATGTAAATTCTCCTACGGATTTGCATACATTTTATTGGCATACTATTCACATAGATATGACTGGGACATTAAGTGGCAAAAGCGACAGAAAAGAAATACGCGTCAGTAATGATAGATTATGTTATCAAGTATGTCCTTTAAGAGCATACTCTATCCCTCGATGCCAGTTGTACTATTAAAGCGTTGAGAAAAGCTGTTTCTCTTTTCGGTGTTCTCAAGCGAATTGTTATATCGGGGAAGGGGCTTTGTAAGCGCGGACTTTAGAGAATTGAGTAAAACACCTCGTATAGAACTTTACTTTATAACAACAGGGGCAAATAAAGCCAACGGTCAAGTAGAAAGGGTCATGCAGATTTTAAAATGTCTGCTAACTATTATAGAAAACGATACCCATAAAACGTGGCGTGACAAACTTCCTGAGGTACAAGGGACGAAACCTCTTAGCATTCAATGGATTCACCGTGCGGGTGCCGGGTCCATCGCGTTGCAGGGAGGGGAGCTTCAGCAGTGCCGGGGACTTGCGACCCAGGTGTGGGTTTAAGGGGCCCCTTTAACTAACGCGCGTTGTACGCTCACCTCCACTGTCCAAGTTCCTCTCCCTACCTAGCCAAATTTGAAAACTACTACTAATTGAACCTACTAGGGCTGAATTCGACGTACGTTCCAAGAATGAATTAATGTTAGTTCTGGACGGGCCCAAGTCTTTTAGTAGGTTGTAGAGAGATTTAGCTGTTATACCTCTCGCTCCCACCTCTACCGCGTACGAATCAGCGACGAACCTATTTCGAGTTAGTTCGTTAGTGAGCTCGTAATACTTAATGACAACGCGCTTTGAAATACGCGAATATAGAAATATGTCTGGTCTAGAGGCTGACGCACAAATATCCTCGGGGATTTTGTGTTGTTTCTCACACGTATCCATCATGATAGTCTAATCCGAAGCCGCTTTAAGGATAGAGTAAGGCTTGACGTTTGATTTTGTAGCCCTGGTGCTCTCTCTCATAAAACCTATTGATCGTTCGTTTGTGGTTGTTTCCCTTTGCGCTCTGGCTACCGAAAGACTGGCCGCTTCACGTATGATCTCTAAAACCCTATAGTGACGACGCGAGAGTTGATCGCTGTCCAGGAGAACCTTACATCTCACTAGCAAATGCTTAGCAGTTCCAACTGCCTTTCCGCAGATATAGCAAGTGTTTTCGGTACCTATACCCCATCTTACTGAATTGCTCTGGTCTGGGAGAGTCATCTAGCACTTAATAACACAAGCCGTAGGGTTACAGGATATACTCCAACAGAACTAATGTTTGGCATACGCGCGCAATCTTTAGGGATATCATTAATAGCCCAAAATTCAGACGAGCCGAGATTAGATTTAGACAATATCCGGAATAAAACTTCCCTCAACACTGAAAACGCAGATCAAAAGGAAGTAGTTAAATTTAATAAAGGCAAAGCCCAAGTAAAACCTTCTTTTCTTTCTCGGGGAGATTACGTTTTTGTTAAGTGTAGCGAGTGTTACCAAACTAAACTACAAAGAAAGTTTAGGGGACCTTTTATCATAATTAAAATTCTAGACAACGATAGGTACGAACTGAAACATACCGATGAATCTAATCACACTTTAAAATACTCTCATGAAAACTTGCGCGCAGTACCCAGAGGCTTTGAAGGGTTAGTTGACATATCCACTGAACTAGGTAATGAGGAGGCCGAGACGGCGGGTCATGGAGTGGAGAGAATGGAAACGAAGCTTTATCAGATGATGAAAGTGAGTAGCTCTGATGGCCTCCAACATTGATAAACCATAAATGAGTTGTGTAAGTTTGAGTTGGTGTGTTTGAGGTGGCGATGGAACTGGCTGATGCGGCCGATGTTTCTAGTAGTGATGGATCAAAGCGTGCAGGGGCTGGCTCGATGGAGTCCACGTCCGGTCGACGCTTGATCAGGTTGTGAAGATGGACGGGCTAGCTCTGTGGAGTCTATGTCCGGGTCATCGTTCACTCACATGAGTTTGGCTAGTGGAGATGGACGGGCTAGCTCGGTGGAGTCTATGTCCGGGTCATCGTTCACTCACATGAGTATAAGTAGTGGAGATGATGGGGCTAGCTCATTGGAGTCTACGTCTCGATCATTGTTCACTGATATGTGTGTGATGATGCTCTGCAGATTGGTCAGACGAAAGTTGTCGTCCGGGTCAGATCCATTTACGTTGGCTGACTTGTCCTGGAACCTCTGCAGATTGTGGTAAGACGAAAATTGTCGTCCGAGTCAGAGCCATTTACGTTGGCTGGCTTGTCCTGGTTGCTCTGCAGATTGTGGTAAGACGAATAGTGTCGTCCGGGTCAGATCCATTTACGTTGGCTGACTTGTCTTGGAACCCCTGCAGATTGTGGTAAGACGAAAATTGTCGTCCGAGTCAGAGCCATTTACGTTGGCTGGCTTGTCCTGGTTGCTCTGCAGATTGTGGTAAGACGAATAGTGTCGTCCGGGTCAGATCCATTTACGTTGGCTGACTTGTCTTGGAACCCCTGCAGATTGTGGTAAGACGAATATTGTCGTCCGAGTCAGAGCCATTTACGTTGGCTGACTTGTCCTGGATGCTCTGCAGACTGTAGTAAGACGAATGGTGTCGTCTGGTTCAGATCCATTTACGTTGGCTGACTTGTTCTGGATGCTCTGCAGACGGTAGTAAGACGAATGTTGTCGTCCGGTTCAGATCCATTTACGTTGGCTGACTTGTTCTGAATATTTTGAGTATCGTGGTAAGACGAAAATTGTCGTCCGGGTCACATCCACCAAAGGACCGACCTGTCCAATAGTACCTACTAATTGTGAACAGTTAACCTACATGCTGTTAAGTGACAAGGCGTTGTCGTCCGGCTTAATTGTTACGTGATGTTCGCCTTAAGTCTTAAGTATCATAGCACATTTTGATGATTGTAACTAGTCGTTTGTCAGGATGCCGAACGGAATAGACACACCTGTAGTTCATTGATCCGAGAACCGCCCGAGGACGGTCGGATGTCAGTCCGGCCGTGACGGCGCATCCGTCAAAAATCATACGTCAGGTTGACTTTTAGCTGTCTGAGGTTAGCCTAGTGAAGCGTCATTGTCGTTGGTAGCGAGGGCGGCCATCTTTATTAGACAGTTTCGTTCGGGATGACGCCCGCGCACCGCGCTCGTGACGAATCGCTGTGTATCGAAGTGATAGTTATATCTAGTGTTTCGATTGAGTTGGTGTCGTATTGAATAGACTGTACTTTATCCCTTTCAAAGTATGAGTTCCCATGAAGGCCCTCCTGTTCTTACAACGCCCTCCTACATATACTAATATTATAAAGCTGAAGAGTTTGTTTGTTTGTTTGTTTGTTTGAAAGCGCTAATCCCCGAAACTACTGGTTCGAATTGAATAATTCTTTTTGTGTTAGATAGTCCAGTTATCGAGGAAGGCTGTGGGCTATATAACATCATGTTACAACCAATAGGAGCAAAGATATAGTGGTAAATGTGTAAAAAACGGGAGAAATTAATTCATCTTTGAAGCCTTCCGTTGCGTGCGCCGTGAAAACGGTTCAAGATATACAAAAATATGTATTAAAGAATAATAGCTCTTTCAATGATCTAAAAAACAGTTCGCGACAGTATATGTCTATCTTTTAAGATTAACTCACAAAAACCGTTTTTATGGTACCTAATTTGGTCGAAATAATTTGGTTAAGTTGTATCAACATAATAATATTAATCTTTATTCAAATAAATAAATAAATTGTTGTTGGTTAAGAGTACTTCATTGTGAATAAAAAAAAAACGGGGAAAAGAAAATTCTACGGGAACTCGACCATTCCGAAAACCCCGCAAGAACGGGAACTATGTGGGAAGAACCAAAAACTTGCCGGAAGTCACTATTCCACGCAGACGAAGTCGCGGCAAAAGCTAGTTAATAGATATATTTGTTTCATTTAAATGAATACTCGACTACTTAGATCTCATTTGTTGTAGTTTTAAATTGTATGAAGATATCAAATTTCCCTTAACAGGCCCTTGTGTCTAAATTAAACTTTATTCGTTCCAGGATATTGACTTCGAAGGCTTCCGATGGTTCCTGGACACCTTCCTTGAAGTCACTACTCCAGATGACCTGGCAAGGTATGTGCAAACAGATGTTTTAATATTATTCCTATTTCATACATGCTTTTAAACTACTATTCTTTTAAGAGTCTATTCACATTTTACAGTATCATTCATGGTCACTTCTATGTTAAATATGTATATACATATATGTATAAAAACGTGTAAGAATTTTTTGAAACTGTGTTTGGGAAAAACTATGGTTTTATCCCGGACTTATCCTATAAATAAATTCCTTGAATAACCTTAAAGAAATGCCTTCACCATCACCCATACATTACACCAAAAATCTCCACACGTATTTTCATTTAAGGTAGTATAATTCTATAAAAAAATATGTATTTTTCTCTCAATTATGAATAGAATTCATATTGAATATGTTACCAAAGCTCATGAACATAAAACTCTGTGAAGTGTAAAAGTTGAAACGGCATCTATATTTAGATTTTTGTGAAGAAAATATAATATTCTTCTTACAATTTGTAAGAAGAGCAACGGAATGGTCTCTATCGTAAGAATCGAGAATTTTAATGAAGGAAAAGTTTTAATGACTTTGAATTTATTTGTTATGTACCGAGATATGAAAAGCTTTGAAAATATTAATTATAGGGTGGCAACCGGAGGTTCTAGGAAAACTACGAAACATACTTATATGTATATTGTAATACCATTCCATAGCTTGTGTGGTATCAGGAATCTTCATGTTCACACGGCTTGGTGTTCGTTCCGCGGAGTCAACAGCGTCTCTCGTTATATATTTTATCCATACAACGATGGTGCCCCGGCGATGTTCGTTTATTTCTTCATATACATCGCGTACGTAACATATTGAATAAAGAAAAAACAATAATATTGCTTCCTCGTGGAAGAAGTGAAACGTAATGTGGAAATGAAAATAGTAAGGGATAGAAATAAATTTTTAGTAAACTTATATTGTTTCCTTAAAACAAACTTTATATACATTGCTTACAATTCACAATTGACCAACCAATTTACTTTCTTATTTCTACTTCTTGCTTTCTTTCTTTCAAATTACTTCAAATACCTACTTATGACATATCTAGTATATAATATAAAATCCGTCTCAAACTCTTTAACTGGACTATAATTTTATGACATATTTGGACATTATGAAATTAATTAACATTTAATTAAAATTTGCATTAAATCACTGGTTACACACATTTTTGACGTAAAAATTGGTGTAATTCATTCCATTTATTTCCTGAGAAAAAAAAACTACGCCCTATCAACTATAGAGAAAAAGATAGCGCTTGCAATAAATTTTCTAAATAGTCGTGTAAGATTAATCCCCTTTATCATCTCCGTGAAAGATTCCTTTATGCTCGTTACATTTTATCCAGCCGAGTTTTCCTAACAAACTCCGACACTATACGAAATAAATATGTGTACATTATAAATGGAGAGAAAACATTTTTAAAATTAATAACAGCTGACAGGAAAACATCGCGTTGAGATAAAGAAACTGTTTTCCGACCTCTGACTAAAAGCAATCGTTTATCTCTTACAGACGATTGCTTTATTCAGTTTTCTTATTTGAATCACTTTTCAATAGTGATGATGTGATTTGTTTTATATCAATATTAAGACAAAACGTTAAAAAAATTATTTTCCTTTCACTAGTTTGTCGAAGTAAACGGATTGCTATAATTTAATTGCAGGCGTTTATTTAATTTATCCTGTTGTTGTGTTATAGGCATCTGTTTCTCTCCTTCGTGCGGAGAGACAAGAGACCAGCTCTTCGTGAGATGGCAGCAGCGAGTTCTACCACCGCTTGTGCTGCTGTCACAGCTCATGCTGACCATCCGGTATGTAGAAAACATGTTATATAGAACATCATCATCATCAGCCTATCAAAGCCCACTGCTGAGCTGCCTCTTCTCACATGGAGAAGATTTGAGCATTAATCACCACGCTCGCTCAAGACGGGTTGGAGATTTAAAATTTATAATTTGAAATTATAAGTCCAGGTTTTCTCGCGATGTGTTTCTTCACTGTTTGTCAGTGGTGTCTAAATAGTCTTTGAAAGGACATGTGACTTGAAAAAATTAGGTACATTGGTATCCAAACCGCGCTCTCAAATGAAAGGCGAAAATTTAATGATCAGACCATCACGACTTTGAAATACAGAAATACCAATCAATCTTCTTAAATCTTAATATTATTAAAAATAATAATTTGGTAATCCGATTTAAGTAGTTTTTTATCGAAAAATGTATTTCATTTTGAAATAACTACGATTTCATACAAAGATTTTGGTGCTACAAATGTTATAACATAGTAAAAAAAGCAATTTCATTAAAATAAATACTTTGCGATAAGATAAGGTGTACTTAAAATAATGTTAAAGGGTGCTGAAACCTGTTTAGTATTTTATTTGTGGTGTCATGATGAAAGTCATAATAAGAACGTAATAAGAATAATATATTACAGCTAAATATAGAAGGGACACTAAAAAGTTATACCCATCATTATAAGATAATTCGGTCGTGGGACGCAAATTTGACTTATGCTTAAATAACTAGAATGGAACTAAAATTTCAGGCAAAATTAAGTCTCGCCTCCAAGATTCATGGTCTCGCGGAGAGATTGCAGCAACTTGGAAAGGGTTCCGGAGACTCGGTAGATGGAGAAAAGGGTTCTAGAAGCAGAACTGGTGAGTCTGTGTCTAGTAGTCTAGTCTAGTCTGTACTAAAATATTATACGATTTTTTTTACAAACGGTGGGTAGAGTTGTTTTTAAAGAGTCTTATTTCGGATTTAATACAAATTCGTTGTTTCTAAAGACATATGCCAATATTGCTAACGTCACTAATGTTCTTTGAGTACGTTCTATGACGATTTATAATGAAATTTCAGTTCTTCTAAAATACATATGTCCCTGTATTTCTTGACGGTTTTTCATATTAACAGTCTCTAATAGTTTGCAAGAATTGAACTCTCACAAAATTCAAACAGTTCTATCATCCTTTTAAACAGTCTTGGATTTCGTTTTACTTTTAACAATAAGTAAGTTTTATAATTATTGCTACTGCATCCTTTAGTAATGCTGATAGCATTTATATATATACTAGCTTTTGCCGCGACTTCGTCTGCGTGGAATAGTGACTTCCGGAAGACTTTTGGTTCTTCCCACATAGTTCCCTTTCTTGCGGGGTTTTCGGAATGGTCGAGTTCCCGTAGAATTTTCAAGATAAAACCTATGTTTTTTTTAAATTCATAATGAAGTACTCTTAACCAACAACATATTTATTTGTCATTTGAATAAAGATTAATATTATTATGTGGATACAACTTAAACAAATTATTTCGACCAAATTAGGTACCATAAAAACGGTTTTTGTGAGTTAATCTTAAAAGATAGACATATACTGTCCCAGACTGCTTTTTAGATCATTAAAAGAGCTATTATTCTTTAGAACATATTTTTTGTGTATATTGAACCGTTTTCACGGCGCACGTAACGGAAGGCTTCAAAGATGAAATAATTTCTCCCGTTTTTTACACATTTACCACTATATCTTTGCTCCTATTGGTCGTAGCGTGATGTTATATAGCCTACAGCCTTCCTCGATAAGTGTACTATCCAACACAAAAAGAATTATTCAATTCGAACCAGTAGTTTCGGAGATTAGCGCTTTCAAACAAACAAACAATCAAACAAACAAACAAACAAACAAACTCTTCAGCTTTATAATATTAGTATAGATGTATACGAGGGTCAAACTGAAAGTTCTTAGAAAATCAAAAACTACATTAGCCAGTTATTAGTTTTTTTATATCTTTTCAAAATAATAGAAGAGTTCTAGGAAGAGTCACAGTTTAAATGCCTCCTGTTTGTAATTTCTTTCTATATACAAAATGTCATGAAAATCGTTGGAGGCGATTCCGAGGTTCCAATTATATATACATATACACAAGAATTATACAGGGTGACTGGTGAATTACTATCGATATTTGAGGACGTGATATTTGACGATCATATATGACAAAATAAAAATTAATATAACATAAATATTAATAAACTTTTAAGTAAAGTTAACCAAAAGTTATGTTATTAATTACGCATCGTTTGAACACCCTACAGATTAGGTATACACACACACTCACACATACGCGTCGGCGGCGTAGTGTTGTATCAGCACGCCGCCGCACGCTTCCACACTTGGAATACTTGGAACGTGTCAACACTTTATTTATTTATACTGAAATTTTGTCAAAAATTAAGTGCCTATTTTTTTTACATAATTCGAATGAGAATCATGTACCGAGTATTCTCCTTAAATATTGATAGTAATTCACCAGTCACCCTGTATATATATACAAGAAATGCTCATTTAAATATATAAGATAAGATACGTAAATTCTGATAGAATGGTAACATTTTCCAGGCAGCGTTCATCCAATGTTCTCTGTTACGACTCATCCATCATACTCCTCTCACGAGCTGTGCTTAGGGAGGTTGGAGACCAGCCCCAGTCACAGCCAAATGTCGAGGAACTCCAGCCGGAAAAGCAGCAATAGTTTACGTGTGAATCAATCAACGAAGATAGAAGGTATATATACTGTTTAGAAAGAGATTTTAAAAAGAAATAAGGTTTTCGGGTAATACTTCATTACTTACATATATTTATTACCTTTATTCGTTTTTACACAATGAGATTATGTTGTCATGAAATAATGCATAACGCGTAGTTTTACTCGAAAACTCTAATTAAGTTTAAATGAATACTACAAATAAATATGCAAACCTTAGATATCATAATGAGATTTCAAATTATAGCAATTACATTTTTTTTATTCAAAATTGACTGATATTTAAAAACAGGGCCCGGATTTAAATTATGTTTCATAAATATATTTTAGTCTACGTAATTCTTTCTTAAAATAAAAATATTGTCCTTAATAAGGTTTTGTATAATAAAGTCTTCTAAAACAGTTAGTAATTTTAATTTGTTTTATAGAATAAAACTAATATTTTTCGGATGTACTACGTGATTTTTATTTTTGACTATAAACTACATACATACTTCCGACGTTTCAGTTCCTTTACAGCAACCGTTATCACGAAGACGAGATTTAGATGTGTGATCACGTGCCCGTGATCACGGTTGCTGTAAAGTAACCGAAACGTCGGAAGTATGTAGTTTTTGATTGAAATGGAAATCGCGTAGTGCATCCCGAAATTATTAGTTTCATTTAAATGAATACTCGCGAAAGTTTTAGATCTCATTATGTATTACAGACTTCAAGCACCTAATGCGGCGTCCTTCAACCATTGAAGTTCATACAGCTCGTGTCTCTCTTAAAGACATCGTGTGTTACCTCTCCCTCCTGGAGGCTGGCAGACCTGAAGACAAACTGGAATGTAAGAACACTACCAGCAGATAAGCTCTTATTACAATAATCATACTGATCATGCCCTCATCTGCTACTTTTAACTAAGATTTATAAAGTACAAATTAAATTTATATTTTGCTATAGCCAAAAGTATGTAACAATAGCTCCGATTTTTTCTACAGCATTCACTTCATTTTATTCTAATGATTTTTATATAAATATTCAGTGTTATGCATTAGTAAATTTACTGACTGAGGATATTTTGTTCCAAGTGAGCCTCAAAATCTAAAATTCAATATTAATCATTAAGTAAGCTAATATATTTCTGTTCTGGTACATTTCCAGTTATGTTCCGTTTGTACGACACGGATGGTAACGGAGTCTTAGACACCAATGAGATGGACTGCATCGTGAACCAGATGATGACCGTCGCGGAGTATCTTGGCTGGGAGACATCTGAACTTAGACCGGTGAGTCTATACAACCAGGGATGGGAAATATTACTAAATTTAACTCATAGAATAGCTTTGCATATGAATTAGGTACATAACGAGAACTATGAGATGCTTTAAGACAGCAATGAATTGAATTTTTGAAGTGTAACTTTGTGAAACGAATTTTGGAATTATCCATTAGGAAATTCCTTTTCCATTAGGAAAAGAACACTAAAAAGTCCTAAAAATTGTTAAAGAAACATAAAAAAATCAATTTCTATACATTCCTGCTTTCATTTCAACATTACGAAGTTTCACTTCTTCCGCTCGGATCGACTCCACGGACTATAAATTTAAACTTATATATGAGGAAATAATCAATTTATTCATTTGTTGACAGATTCTACAAGACATGATGGTGGAGATAGATTATGACGCTGATGGCACCGTTTCTTTGGACGAATGGAATAGAGGAGGGTGAGTTAAGTTACTTTTTGTAAGTCCTAAAAAATGTTTCATTCTAATGCCATTTAAAACACAAACTTTTCTAAATTATTTACCAACTTTGATTTGTTTACCTAGCCTGTACTTGCATTCAAATAGAGCAAACCTGATTCAGTATATTTGTTTATCATCACTATAAATCTTCATAATCTGATTTTCATATCTGTTGCTAGATCTATCAAAATATGTTTTATTTAAATACTAGTAGCGCCATCTGTGCTGCTAAATGTGTAACAATTGTTATGATCCTACTACACATAGAATAATAAATCAGTCGGTTCGTGATTGTTTCATTAGAATATCAACTGAATAGTTTTAGGTGTAATTATGCAAAATAATGCAAAAAAACTTTTTGTAATATAACAGTATAAAATGGAAAACTAAATGATACTGAATTAACAATATCAAGAAATCTTCACTAGAATTGTAAACGCGAAAGTTTGTATGACCAAATGTAAGGCAGAATGGACTATTTTTAATCAAACTTTGCGATAATAAAGCTCATGTTACAGAATACTAGTAGTAGAGGCAATAGCTATACTTTATTTCATATAGTTTCTGCACTAAGTAGAATATAGTATAGTAGAGTTACTGTTGTATTTTATCTGAAGGTGAGTGCTTACTTAGCCCACCATTATTTGTTTCCCTCTGTATGGGGTCCAACGGACAAAGCCACAGACAAAAGCTAGTGTAATATATTTTAATTTCAGAATGACGACAATACCGCTTCTAGTATTATTAGGTTTGGACACCAACGTGAAGGAGGACGGCGAACACGCGTGGAGACTGAAACACTTCAACAGACCGGCGTACTGCAACCTGTGTCTCAACATGCTGGTCGGCTTGGGGAAGAAAGGACTCTGTTGTATATGTAAATAGAATTCATTTTAAAATTATATATTTTCATTAGTAAGATCCTATTGTTTCTCCTGGACTTATCAGAATTAAATTAAAGATTATATAATATTTGTTTTGTTTTACGGTTTCGATTCTTGTGCAATACAAGCTGTAAATTTTTCTTGTAATATGAAGAGTTCTCAAACAAACCATAATTATATTAGGTATTAGGAATATGGATCAGGTCTTTAAGTTATTAAATTTCAAATCATTCTCAAATTTCTGTACTGTTATATGAGTTACATATTTCGACTTATGTATAAATGTTTCTTTGTCAGTCTGTAAGTTCACTGTTCACGAGCGTTGCGTGCAGCGAGCGCCTGCATCATGTGTAGCGACCTATTGCAAGAGTAGACGAGCACCGGCCGCACTGGCGCACCACTGGGTCGAGGGTACGTATATACAGACAGACACACAGAGAGAGAGAAAGAAATAGTGAGAGAAGGACGGACTGATAGCGAGAGAATGAGGGAGGGATATGGAGAAAAAGAGAGGGAAGGTTAAAAAGAGGGAGAGAGAGGGGTTATAGAAAGATAGACAGAGATAAATTAGGGAAGTGTAGTGTATATATGTATCTATGCAATAGATATAATACACTGTCTCACGTACCCCACTGGAGGGGGTGGCATGCGCTCGGCAGTCTAATGACTAGCGCGGAGTGGAACGGTGACGTGGGTCGCTCTAGGCGGGGTAGTAGTGAGACAGTGACTAGTTATACTTACATGTAGGACCAGGAGTCCTACAGGAAGGAAGATATACAAACATAAATACACAAAACCCCTTCCTGATTAATACGAAAGTTTATGAAGCTTATGAATTTAAAATTAACTTAACTCTATGACGTAACTTATGGACCATTAACAGCTTGCGGCTAAGATTTTTAAGCTCATTAATATGCAAATAAATTTTATTTGCATACGTCATAGGTCATTGAACTTTAGGAAAACTAAAACTAAATAATTATAATCTTATATTACAGGAAACTGCCACGGAAAATGTGCGAGATGTCGGAAGAAAATCAAAGGTTATAACGGAATAACTGGACTACACTGTCGGTGGTGTCATATTACTGTGAGTAATATTAGTAGGAGAGAAGAGAATAAAGAATAGAAAAGAATAGAAGAATGTACAGAGCATTTGTTACAAGTGGTGGCATCTGTGCCGTACTAATTATAATATATTATAATCCTAACAATTTTGTAATGTCAATATTTAAGTATCAACTTGTATTTGATTAAACTATAAATACTGGCTTCAGCCATTTTGTTCGATAACTGGAAGTAACGCTGAACATTGAAAAGCAAATCTGCAACTGTACCTCGAACATATATTTATTATATTTACAGTCAATAGATACTTGTAGGCACATAGAATATCTAGAAGCTTATCCCAAATAGTTTGTATATGTACAAATTGTAGTATCTTCTTCTACCTGGAAATTTCCCAGCTATAGCCAGGGTCTGCCTTACATGATGTGGATAGTTTTCGCTATTTGTTTTTACCTCCGCCTGCCTGACATCAACCCTCTTTTGGAATAATTGTAGTATATAATGTATTTTATTTCGTTCGTAGCTCCATAATCGTTGTGTGGGCAGCGCGGGTGGAGCCTGTACGCTTGGGAGACATGCGAGGCACATTCTACCTCCGACAGCCATCAGGCCTCTCGTGTTGGACAGACAGAGATCACTACCACACAGACATACGCCGGATAAGGTACTCTTATGTTGTAAATATGGTGGAACCTTACTTGTAGAAAAAGAGGGAGGTATGGGCATAAGGAGATGACAGGAAAGGGGACGGGGAAAGAATACAGGGTTAGAATCATGTTAGTTGATCATTTCAATAAAACGTCATTACGTAAATAATTTATTTATTTATTGTATTCAATACAATTGAACTAGATCAACATTATACGTGTTTTCAATTTCAATAGCTGATTAATTAGTTTTTGTTATTTCTTATAACTAAAACCGGCACACGAACATGGACCATAAGAAATTAAACCTAATTTTTCATGTCCATAATGTTTTATTTCAGCAAACCCTACCAGTGTCGATATCTCTTCCTATCTCCATCGCAGCGACCACAGAAGAGAAGAAAGAAGAGAAGGAGAAGGAGAAAGAACACAGAGCTCCACCTATATCCTTTCAGATAACACCACCAGAGGGCACTTGTCCGTTATTAGTCTTCATTAATCCAAAATCTGGAGGCAGACAAGGGTCTAGAGTACTTCGAAAGCTCCAGTATATCTTGAACCCTCGACAGGTACATGATATAGCCAAAGGGGGGCCAATGCAAGGTAGTTATGAACCATCATTAAAGAATTTTATGTCTTTGATTTCTATCAGAAAAGGTGTTTTTGTTTCAGGTTTGCAAACATTCAAAGACGTTAGAAACTACAGAGTGATTTGTTGTGGTGGAGACGGAACTGTTGGCTGGGTGTTGGAGACTATGGGTATGTTGATACAAATGTTCTGATAGATATAATATAACTACCTGATGCATGTGACTTTTACCGTTCATTAATGTACTAACGAACTTCTTACATGTGCTAGAAAATATTACAACTCAATAAGCACACTAATAAATGAACAGTAATATGTTGAATATGGACATACATTTTCTGACTTGAAACAAAACAGATGTTTATCTCAATTTATAAGTACATAAACCTCTTAATATTTATGAAGAACATCAAATATCAGAAGCTTAACTAATTCTACTATCACAAAATAATCAGTATATAACAGATTTTTGACTAATAAAATTAATTATACACACACAAAATCATTTCTAAAGTTCCTTTACTTTGCGACCAATTGACGGTATTACAATTTGTCATACTACCCTCGTACCAAGTTATATCATTGTACATTTTGTTTGTCGTTTCTCTCTCATGTTTCTTGTATTTCCAGATAAAATCCAGATGGAGTGTCGTCCAGCGGTCGGCGTCATCCCTCTTGGTACCGGCAACGACCTGGCCAGGTGTCTGCGGTGGGGTGGGGGGTGAGAGTTAATCATAACTACTTATACCGTTTCATACAAATCACATAATAAATTATTGCAAGTCAATTGAGATTAATTGTAATACAATAAATAGTGGCTGTAAATATTAATGTTCATGAATCAAAAAGTTGTTTCCATTATTTATATAAGAGTCACTTTATGTTAAAACTTGAATTGATAAAGAATTTATTAATTGGTTCGTTTTTTGCTGTAAATGGAATATTCAAGAACTATTTACTGACGCATCTATTTATCGATCTAACGCAAAGTTTAGCAGCGATTAAATTCGTAAAATTTAACCTTAGTAATATCCAATTCAGTTGAAAATTTCATATTTGTAGTCTTTTTAATTGTTTATCTGCTCATTGATTCTACATTTTTATATGAAATACATTTAGCATTGCTATCACCACGAATATCATACTGATAATTTTAGCAACAAATTTGTATGACGTACCCAACAAACTGATTAGTGTGTACCTATGTACATTTTTCATTTGCTTTTCGGAGATAAATAAAAAAACGAACATTACTTAAACTCTATAACATTTTGAGATCTAATATTTTCGCGAGTACTCATTTAAATGAAACTAATAGTTTCGGATTTACATCTCGTCTCGTCTGTCCGTGATCACGGTTGCTGTAAAGTAACCGTAACGTCGGGAGTATGTAGTTTATAGTCCAAAATATAAACCTGCGTAGTCAATCCGAAAATATTAGTTTCATCTATAATATTTTTCAAAAGAATTCTATTAACTAATAGTAATAAAACACCCAAATAAATCTCTTTAATCTAGAAGTGTATGCCCAGGTATGAAGGCGAATCAATCCATAAGATTCTGGACAAGATAGGTCGCGCCAGTACCGTCATGATGGATCGATGGCACATACACGTTGAGAATTCAACGGATGAGGTGAACTTACTACTATACTATGTAATACAGTTAATAAGTTAATGTAACTATAAACTGATCTCTTTATATAGAAAAGGACCAAACGTTGAAAAAGTATAAAAAATTTTCAAATATACATATCACGCTTATTTTTTGCTCGAGAAACTATAAAAATTTTGAAAACAATTTTACTATGTACAATGATAAATACAAACTGCTTCTTAATACTAGTGAAAGTACACATTAATATTATTATAAATCTAGCATTAGGTTTTCACATTATTTTTGGGTATGGACCATATGAGTATACAAAAAATATTAGAATCACTGAATGTATTGAAATATCATCTACATATAGAATAATATGTTGATATTCAATCTTTATGTTAAAATCCTTTCGTTCCAGGTGGAACAGCTCCAGATGCCTGACTCAACTCCTCACCCTACATCTGTACCGTACAACATCATCAACAACTACTTCTCCATAGGCGTTGTGAGTACAAAAATCAATAATAATATATGTCCCAGTATATAGGGAGGTTCCAGGAAAACTACGACACTTACTTATAAGTATGTATGTTATGATAAGAACTACATATTAAAACTTATAACCTACACCTAAGACTACATGATTGATCCAACGTTAGGATAGCAATACCATTCCATAGCTTGTGTGTATCAGGAATCTTCTGGTTCACACGGCTTGGTGTTCGTTCCGCGGAGTCAGCGGCGTCACTCGTTATATATTTTATCCATACAACGATGTCGCCCCGTCGATGTTCATTTATTTTTTAATATATATCATGTACAACACAATTATAAGTTTCATGTTTTTTAAAAAGACTGACATCAGCATACCTGACCTCATCAATGCGTGTTCTTGATTGCTGTCAGGCTATTGACGGTAACTTTGTAGATTGTTTGACGACTCCCTCAACCTCGAAGAGGTCCGATTCTACATATAACGCCTCTATTCATACCAACTCTCACTCATTATTGTGACTACACTTACACAAGTGGATATACAGGAGACACCTGATAATTTCAACTACCCTAAATTATTGCTTCTTTGAATAATATCAATTGCGCCGATATACACATTAAAATAATTTCCAACATGGCCTTATTAATCCAGACTTCAAGTAATGTTCGGCCTCTTAGTACTTAGTCATATATATATACATATATTTTATATACTATCCTCTCCTCCAGGACGCCGCTATCTGCGTCAAGTTCCACACGGAGCGCGAACGGAACCCGGACAAGTTCAGCTCCAGGATGAAGAACAAGCTGTGGTACTTCGAGTTCGCGACCTCGGAACAGTTCGCGGCCAGCTGCAAGAACCTGCACGAGAACATCGAGCTCGTGGTGAGATGGCTCGAGTAGATCAAATATATAAAACGATTTTCCTTTATTCCAGAAAAGCAATGGATTACATCCAACTATTACTACGACCAAATTATAGTATTTCTTTGACTATTCCAACGTAGATATAGCTGAATAAAACTTGATTTAGAAGCCTTAAGACATTGAGTAATGTAATGAAACTTAATAATGAACCTTATATTCAGTGTGACGGAGTTTCCCTCGAGCTGAACAAGGGTCCCGCGCTACAGGGAGTCGCTCTGTTGAACATACCTTACGCACACGGGGGGTCCAACCTGTGGGGGGCCAGCGGGGCCCATAGACGGGGGAGGTTCCCGGACGCGCAGCAAGGTGACACGCACACACACACACACACACACACACACACAAGCTTAATGAGATTTAAATACAGCACACACATAAATATAAAAGTAACTAGTCTTTGTCCATGACTTCGTCTGCGTTACTATCAAAATTAGAAATGTATCAGCCCGGTCAAACTCTGTGCCTCCTTAAGGATAGTAAATAAGAAGATTTTTGATTTTTTTCAGTTTTTTTTTCAATCGTATGATAAGTATCTCTTCACCAATTTTCAAAAAAAACCGTATAGCAGTTCTTGAGTTATAAATAGTGTAATTCTACTTTCTTTTATATATTAAGATTTGTAATCGTTACTTATGTTATAGATATTGGCGATAAGCTGATAGAAGTCATCGGCCTGGAGAACTGTCTGCACATGGGACAGGTTAGGACAGGTGGGTCTACATATATGACAACAGGATTGGAACCTTTGATTAATATTTAAATATTATTCAGAATAGAGTGTAAAAATAAATATGATAATTTTATGAAAATAACTACAAAAAAGTAAAAGATATAGCTCCTCAGCTGTCTTGAAAATTGACCTTTGACCTTGCTCATACTTGTATATGTGTTATAATAAATAAATAATACGTTTATTATACTCCTTATTAAATTTACCTTACATATTTAAAGATACCGTTTAATTTACTTGAGTTCCAATAAAATTGACTACAGAATTTTATCAAAGGAAGGTTAGGTCAGGTTTTAAAAGACTCTACAATATTTTAAGCATGATCATACAAAAATAATATGTACTCAAAGAAAACGCTATGACATAGGGCTACGAGCGTCAGGACGGCGTCTTGCCCAGTGTAGTAGCATCAGACTTATAACGAAAAGGACCTTCCCCATGCAGATTGATGGGGAACCATGGATGCAGCCGCCATGCAAGGTAAGGGACGATAATAATTTAATATATATAGTCCAAAAAACTTAGTTTGGACACAAAGTTAAATTAACAAAAAATAGTGAAAGACATGATATGATATGAAAGATGTAGTGATAGACTTAAGATGTCTTCTTATGTTGGTTAGTTCGGAAGCACCAAAAATATTATGTATAATAATAAGTTACATTAAAAGTGCAAAAGTTTTCTCAAATTCCGTCTAACTTCTTTCAAAACTCGACTTGAACTAATGACTAAATATAATTAAAAATCATTATTTATAAATTGTATGACATGTTTGATGAAAAATTTTGCTTTCTTAAGCCTAAATTGAATTTTTAGTCGAAATTGTGACAATTGTTTTGGCAGCAGTTGTTTAATAGATACTGAGATAGTCAATAATTTTCAGATAACAATAACCCACAAGAACCAAGTTCCGATGCTGATGGGACCAGCTCCCGAAAAGGGAAGGAGCTTCTTCAAACTGTTCACGCACTGCTAAGTCCCTCTCACACCCATTCCATTTAGAGCTGGCCAGAAAGAGATAGATGTACGATATAAGTTTGTCCATAGAAACAATATCTCGTTGTTAGCATTTTAGTTCAATAATGACCACAACCCAACATGGCTTCTTCATAGCTTTCTAATTGAGGCTTGTACCAAAATTATACGTCCATTTTTGCAATTTTAAATAATATATTTACATGGCAGAATAGGATAAGCATTTTTTTATAGTTTTGTTAAAGATAAATTTATCTTTTAAAGACACGCTGAAATGTTTTTTGATCTGTTTCCGTAGTAATCCTTGCGTCATCTATAAGTTCAAATGATTTGTCAATCAATCGCCATTTTGTTGTATCATCGGCGTATTTGTTAATGTATATTAAATGTTTTAATATCTGTGTATTGAAGTTATATACGTGACTGTTTTTATGTTTTGTAAATATTATTATTAACAATGTAACTGTAATCTCAAACGACGGGTTTTAATTTTTAGCTTATATTATAGTTTTAGGATAAGTTTTTTAAATTTTTTAGAGCTTCTTTCGAATTACCGTCCATTGTGATGCTCTCGGTGTGAGTTTGATTTGACTATGTGTGAAATTTAGTTCAAAAATCTTATTGACTAATATACCTTCATAGGCTATACCAATAAAGAAGTATTAAGGAATGAGTTACTACTCTTAATGCAGTTACTACTATTTGTTCCTTTCCAGGAGTAAAAAGTATGATAAATCACCTGGAACACCCTCACAGGATGCCATTAGCAGCAGTTAATTCAAAATATACTATTAAAGTTATTTTAAACTCTAAATTATTGTACTTTTTATTGTTAATTGAACTCATACCGAGGGAAGAAATCGAGTCCTTTAAAAAAATATCACGCACTTTTAATAATTTGAATGCAACCTTACGTATTTTAATTCTGATATTTTAAGTAGTTAATACAAATGTTGTGTAAGTTTTTGTTATTTTCTAAGTGTTGGTGTTTGAACGACTATATGGCGGTCAGCGAATATTGCATTTCTATTAAAAATATTTATAAAATTATAAATTATTACAGAAATTATATAAAAAATCTAGGTATAAATATCAATTTATTGTTTAAATTATAATTCATCGAATTCTATATATTATAATTACTTTTTTAAAGAAAACTACTTATATTAAAATATTTTTTATTATGTCAACATTCACTGAACGTCAAATATCAGATCGATGTAAACGTTGTTAATGATTTTTCTGTCGCGAATATTTACCTTTTACAGCTTTAATAGATGTAAGAAATATATTATTGTATATTGTAAAAATATATGTGCATTTAAAATAATTGATGGTTTTTCTATTGGTTTCATTTAACTCAATATATTACAAGTTTGAAATTACCAACCCGTCTTGAGCAAGCGTGGTGATTAATGCTCAAACCTTCTCCATGTGAGAAGAGGCAGCTCAGCAGTGGGCTCTGATAGACTGATGATGTTATATTTAATACTAGCTTTTGCCGCGACTCCGTCCGCGTGGAATAGTGACTTCCGGCAGATTTTTGGTTCTTCCCACATAGTTCCCGTTCTTGCGGGGTTTTCGGAATGATCGAGTTCCCGTAGAGTTTTCAGGATAAAACCTATGTGTTTTTTAAATCACAATGAAGTACTCTTAACCAACAACATATGTATTTGTTTATTTGAATAAAGTTTTATAAAATTATTTCGACCAAATTAGGTACCATAAAAACGGTTTTTGTGAGTTAATCTTAAAAGATAGACATATACTGTCGCGGACTGTTTTTTAGATCATTAAAAGAGCTATTATTCTTTAATACATATTTTTTGTGTATCTTGAACCGTTTTCACGGCGCACGCAACGGAAGGCTTCAAAGATGAAATAATTTCTCCCGTTTTTACACATTTACCACTATATGTTTGCTCCTATTGGTCGCAGCGTGATGTTATATAGGTCACAGCCTTTCTAGATAACTGGACTATCCAACACAAAAAGAATTATTCAATTCGAACCAGTAGTTTCGGAGATTAGCGCTTTCAAACAAACAAACAAACTCTTCAGCTTTATAATATTAGTATAGATTTTACACTGACAATGTACCATATATTCTATATGAATAAAAACACTTGTGGTATGTCAACACTGAACTTTCAACATTCAGCGAGTGTATAAAACAGCAATTAGTATTAAATTATTTTTGTAACAATAATGATCTATATCCCGATGTTACTTATCACTTTGACGCCTTCATTAATAAACTGAGATTGCTTTATACCAATTAAAAAGTTCCAAACCAGTTTTTCGTTTGAACAGTAATATAATATTAACTAATTACGTGTGTTTGAAATTGTAGGACAGAAAATGATTTTCTTAAGACTGACTATTGTCACACTATGATGAGTGTTGCCATTAACATACAGAAAAAATATTTTTGAAGTGAAACTTTTTATGACTCCCAACAAGGTTGCGTTAAACGTTTAACGCTCCTGTGGGGGACATGAAAAGAGACAGAGGGAGAGGTAATGCGTGTGCTCGAACGAATGCGGACAATCAATAGTGACTTGTAAGTAATGTAAATAAAGTTTGTTTTAAAGAAACACTCAAAATTTCTTAAAAAATCAATCTCCACTCCTTCCCGTTTCCATTCAACCTAACGAAGTTTCATTTCTTCAACGCGGAGTGACTCCACGCACTATTTTTTTTTATCCATTACTTAAATGAAATAAAAAAAAGTTTCATAGTACCTTTAATTATCTACATTTTTAAACTTTATCTTTATTTATAGTTAAAATTGTATATGCTTATATAAAAACATAATGACAGCATCTTTTAAAATATTATTTATTACAATTTTTATTATCATAATCTGTCGTTCATTTCAACCAAACGCAAACAAAACACCGGTTCTTGTAATAAAGATACAATTTCTCGTTTAATCGCTACATCTCATCCAACCGCAGCCTGTTATTATAAAAAGTTAAATATCAAACAGCTGTCAATGTCAATATTTTCATATATAAATAGAACTTATTATTTTATTATTTTGTATCACATTTTTAATATATGTATGATATTTTTGCTTTTGATTTATTTAGACTGAAAAGAAATGTTTAATAGTATTTAATTTCATTGTACTTCTATTATTTTTTAATTACATTTGATCCTATATTATAGTTATTAAATGAAGACTATTTTGATTGTTTAAAAAGTCACTTTCAAATTAATTTATGCCGCTAACATAATCTTCTAAATAATATTTAAGTATACACTTTTTTATATATTACTAGTTTTAGCCAGAGACTTCGTCCGCGTAGACTTCTGACTTACCCTCGCATAGAAATGTGTAAAGTGTGTTAAAATAATAGATATGGCCATATAAATACTCTCAGAAAGTACATATGACTCCAAATCACATTGGTACTTGCCAGGTTTGAACCGGCGCCTTCGGCAACGAGAGGCGTGCCCTATAACCACTAGGCCACCACTGACTGTAGAAAAAATCTAATATATAAAATTTCCATGCCATAATGTTAGTTACCGTACTCCACCGATTTTCTTCACCGATTTTACCAAATTTTATATCCGTATTCAGTAGGTCTGAGAATAGGCTACTATTTATTTTCATACCTCTAATTGATATGGGTTGTTCACCACTAAAATTTGGACGAATTTTTTTTAATGTGGCATTAAAAACACATATGAACCATTTTTTTTTACTTTTTTATCTATTTTATATGGCAAAACGTTAACCGGATCAGCTAGTACTTAATATACTATATTTGTGCTACAGAAGAGGGCTATTCGCGCAATCTATAACCTAGGAGCTAAAGAATCGTTAAGGAATAAATTTAAAGAAATCAAGATTTTGACTGTTGCTTCTCAATATATATTCTGCAATGTTATGTATGTACGAAAAAATATTAATGATTTCATGAGAAAATGTGATACTCATAGCATTGGTACAAGGAACAAACATAAACTTGTTACTCCTGTTACTCGACTACATAGAGTCAGTAACTCCTTTGTGGGGCAATGTATAGGGTTTTACAACAGGATCCCAGAAAGCGTTCAAAATGCCTCTGTTGCTAAATTTAAAAAAGTTATTAAGGAACGCTTGTGTGCAAAAGGTTACTATACAATTAATGAGTTTATGATCGATAGCACACCTTGGGAATGAAACGATCGCCTCCTGGCTATCTCATCTCTTATTAAATTGTGTATATAATATATGAGACAAATACATATATATAAAAAAAACCCGCTGAGTTTCTTTCGCTGGTTCTTCTCAGGTCAGGGTATTTTCTATTCCGAACCGGTGGTAGTGTCTCAAGTGACCATCAATAAGAAAGTGTAATGCTTCTATATTGAATAAAGTTGTTTGAGTTTGAGTATATATAAAATACTATTTTGTGCCCGCGACTTCGTCCGCGTTAATTTCGTCATGTCGTTAATCGTAATACTTTTTCCTTTATTCTGATTTTTTATTTATATTTTTACCTTTACGCCATAAGGTCCGTGTTGTGAAGTGCGACCGAATGATTGACATGTTAGATAGTTGTCAAATCTAATGTCAAAAAAATCTTTTGTATGGGAAATAGAAAAGGGCTGTTTTTAGGGTTTTCCCGAAACCTCCTTCCCTTCCTTGAACCCCCACGAACATTTCAAGACTAAGATAAGATAAATCCGTTCAGCTGTTCTCGAGTTTTAGTGAGACTAAGGAACAGCAATCCATTTTTATATAAATATGTAGATATCAATAATTTTTAAAGTAAACAAGGTTTCTGACTTTCAAGGAACGTAGTCATCTGTGTTTCTAAGATGGCTCGTTCTCATGGCAACCGTTGCTGAGCAACCGAGGTTAGAGCCTTCAGAGAAAGATGAAGATGTTACAATTTAAGGAATTTCCACGGAAATTATAAAGAGAATATAAATATGACTTAGAAAATATTATCTTTTGTAAATATGCTCATGATTTTTTAAATTAAATTATATAAAGACATGGTTAAACATTTTCTTTTTTTTATGTAAACGTATTAAAATTACGAATGACATTTTAATACTGTCTTTATGTTTGCATCCTTTTCTTAGCTAACCTATTCTATTTTCGATCCCTTTCACACAACGACTAATCTTGCATCTCTCTCTTTCACACTCAAACGGTTACACTTCATCGTATATTAACTGCATAAGAATTGACAGATAATATAAAAAATGTTTAGACAGATAATAATTATTCTCCTTACATATGTATTATGTGAAAAAATTAAAGTTCTTTAGTTTGAAAACTCAATTTGTTAATGGACAAAAGTATAAACAATCTAATTTATAAAAATTTTACGTCACCACTTTTCAAATTCAATGAATATTTTGAATGTAACAAAATTTCTTATTTATTTGAATTGACATCTTAATAGAATCTATGAATACTTTAACTATATTAAAAAGAGAACGTCATAAGTTGAAGGTAGGTGAAAAAAAAAATTGTTTACATGACGTAACTACACAGTACGATAAGTTCAGATTAACGAAAGAAGTGATAGATCAATACTAACTGTGTTTTTAAACTAAACTTTAAAAAAACATTGTAGATGTTGATATGTGTGTGAGTAGTATCTCCCAAACGGATGCACCGATTTCAATCAGGTTAGTCTCATTTAATAGACAGTTTCTTTGCAGTGGTTCTTAACTCATCAGTCCTTTTCCAAAATAATGAATAATTCTTGGCCAATATTACTCCATTAAGTGTTAAATAACGAATGACGTGCAATGGTTTGTTTTAATATTATAAAGTATTCATGATTTATATCAAAATCATTTACAGTTTATGTTTTCAATATCAATGGGACTACTCCAACATCGCTTTAAGTAAGTCGCTTTAACTAAGTCAAATTATTATTTAAACTTTTAAATTCATATGCTACAAGAAGAAATTCTGTCACTAAGTTATTCCCGCGTCTTCGCATGATTTATTAAATGTCTAGTATATACAACACACGTATACACGAACTATACACGAAGTGTCCATATAAGTCTTAGATTTTTAAAAATTGTTTGACTTAAATGAAACTAATATTTTTCGGATAATTACGCGTATTTTATTATTTTAAACTACATACTCCCGACGTTTCGGTTTATGCAGCAACCGTGATCACCAAGACGAGATGTGAATGAATATTAATATATATAAAAATAATTACATTTAAATAAATAGAAATATTAGTTTCATTTAAATGAATACTGCGAAAGTCCAACATCTCATTAGTTATATAGCTTTATATTGAATGAAGATATCAAAATTTTCTTTAGCAGGCCCTAGTGTCTAAATTATACTTTATTTGTTCCAGGATATTGACTTCGAAGGCTTCCGATGGTTCCTGGATACCTTCCTCGAAGTCACTACTCCAGATGACCTGGCGAGGTATGTGCAAACAGATGTTTTAATAATATTTCTATTTCATACACCTTTTAAACTAACATTCTTTCAAGAGTCCAGTTAATCCATTCATGGTCAGTTCTATGTTAAATATGTATATACACATAGGTATAAAAACGTGTTAGGTTTTTTTGAAATTGTGTTTGGGAAAAACTATGGTTTTGTCCCGGACCTATCCTATAAATAAATTCCTTGAATAACCTTAAAGAAATGCCTTCACCATCAACCATACATTACACCAAAAATCTCCACACGTATTTCCATTTAAGGTAGTATAATTCTATAAAAAAATATGTATTTTTCTCTCAATTATGAATAGAATTCATATTGAATATGTTACCAAAGCTCATGAACATAAAACTCTTTGAAGTGTAAAAGTTGAAACGGCATCTATATTTAGATTTTTGTAAAGAAAATATAATATTCTTCTTACAATTTGTAAGAAGAGCAACGGAATGGACTCTATCGTAAGAATCGAGAATTTTAATGAAGGAAAAGTTTTAATGACTTTGAATACATTTGTTATGTACCGAGATATGAAACGCTTTGAAAATATTAATTATAGGGTGGCAACCGGAGGTTCTAGGAAATCTACGAAACTTACTTATGTGTATATTATAATAAGAACTACATATTAAAACTAAAAACCTACACCTAAGATTACATGATTGACCCGATGTTAGAATAGCAATACCATTCCATAGCTTGTGTGGTTAGTGGTATCAGGAATCTTCTGGTTCACACGGCTTGGTGTTCTGTGGAGTCAGTAGCGTCACTCATTATATATTTTATCCATACAACGATGTCACCCCGGCGATGTTCATTTATTTCTTCATATGTAACGCTTACGTAACTTATCAAATATATATAATGACACTACTAACAAATATTAATGCCATTTATTTCCTACGAGAAAAAAACAACGCCTTATCAACTATAGAGAAAAAGATAAGCGCCTGCAATAAATTTTCTTGAAAGTCGTGTAAGATTACTCCCCTTTATCATCTTCGTGAGAGATTCCTTTATGCTCGCTACATTTTATCCAGCCGAGTTTTCCTAACAAACTTCAACACTAGACGAAATAAATATGTGTACATTATAAATGGAGAGAAAACATTTTTAAAATTAATAACAGCTGAAAGGAAAACATCGCGTTGAGATAAAGAAACTGTTTTCCGACCTCTGACTAAAAGCAATCGTTTATCTCTTACAGACGATTGCTTTATTCAGTTTTCTTATTTGAATCACTTTTCAATAGTGATCGTGTGATTTGTTTTATATCAATATTAAGACAAAACGTTAAAAAAAATATTTTCCTTTCACTAGTTTGTCGAAGTAAACGGATTGCTATAATTTAGTTTCAGGCGTTTATTTAATTTATCCTATTGTTCTGTTAAAGGCATCTGTTTCTGTCCTTCGTGCGGAGAGACAAGAGACCAGCTCTCCGTGAGATGGCAGCAGCGAGTTCTACCACCGCTTGTGCTGCTGTTACAGCTCATGCTGACCATCCGGTATGTAGAATAGATGTTATATAGAACATCATCATCATCAGCCTATCAAAGCCCACTGTTGAGCAAATTCCTCTTCTCACATGGAGAAGGTTTGAGCATTAATCGTCACGCTCGCTCAAGACGGGTTGGAGATTTAAAATTTATAATTTGAAATTAGAAGTCCAGGTTTCCTAACGATATTTTTCTTCATCAGTCAGTGGTGTCTAAATAGCCTTAGAAAGTACATATGACTTGGAAAAATTAGGTACATTGGTTTCCAAACCGCGCTCTCAAATGAAAGGCGAAAATTTAATGATCAGGCCACCACGACTTTGAAATACCAATCCATCGTCTTCAATCTTAATTTTATGAAAGATAATAATTGCGTAAACCGACTTAGTTGTTTACAAAAAATATATTTTATTTTGAAATAATGACAATTTCATTCAAAGATTTTGTTGCTACAAATGTTGTAACATACTACAAAAACAACTTCAATGAAAGAAATACTTTGTGATAGAGTAAGATTTGACGTAAAATAATATTTTCACGCAACCTATATTGTATTTATAAATATAAAGTCATAATAAGAATAATATATTACAGCTCAATATAGAAGGCACACTGAAAAGTTATCAATAAATAAGTTAAAACCATCTTTATAAGAAAATTTACTCCCAAATTTACAAAGGACAGTATTGACCTGGTCGTGGGACGCAAATTTGACTTGTGCTTAAATAACTAGAGGAAGGAATTAAAATTTCAGGCAAAACTAAGTCTGGCCTCCAAGATTCATGGTCTCGCGGAGAGATTGCAGCAACTTGGAAAGGGTTCCGGAGACTCGGTGGACGGAGAGAAGGGTTCTAGAAGCAGAACTGGTGAGTCTGTAGTCTGTAGTCTGCAGTACTGATATCGTATCGTCACCAATAACTGAAAAATGATAGGATTCCTTTTACAAACGGTGGTTAGAGTTGTTTTTTAAGGAGTCTTATTTCGGATTTAATGCAATTTCGTTGATTTTAAAGAGAGATTCCAATATTGATAAAGTCACTAATGTCACTTCTTTCAGTACATCCTTTGATATTTCATAATGAAACTTCAATTCTTCTCAATACCCTTATATTTCTCGAAGGTTCTTCATAATCACATACAGTAGGACCTCGATTATCCGGACTAATTGTTGTCGGTAGGCATCCGGATAATTGAAAGTCCGGATAATCCAATATATGAAGAAAAACGGGCTTTTTGCATATGTACATATGTAGTCTGTACCATACATATGTAATGTTAGGTGTTTATTTAAAACAACAAATACATATGAGTGAAAATCAACGTTTATTAAGAAAGTGTTATAAGTGGCGTGGCGTTATGCAAGTTCTGACATGTTAATCTATCTATATATATAAAAATGGATTGCTGTTCCTTAGTCTTGCTAAAACTCGAGAACGGCTGAACGGATTTATTTTATCTTAGTCTTGAAATGTTCGTGGAGGTTCAGGGAAGGTATAAAAGCTTAAAAAAAAAATTCCGGGAAAACCCTAAAAACAGCGCTTTTCTATTTCCCATACAAACGGGTTTTTTGACATTAGATTTGACAACTAACTAATATGTCAATCATTCTGTCGCACTTTAGAACACGGAGATTTATGGCTTAAAGGTAAACTCCAAAAAAATAATTAAGAAATAATTTATTTCTTGATTGAGGCAGTACGAAGTCTGCCGGGTCAGCTAGTGTTAGAATAAACTCGTCGCGATTGACAGTCCGGATAATCGCGAATTCAGATAACCGAGGTCCGGATAATCGGGGTCCTACTGTACTTCAATAGTTCGCACTCACTGAACTCTGCTGTCGTGGGTCCAGACGTCATATTTATACCAAGATTCAAACATATGTAGTTCTATTCTTCGTTTAAATAGTCTTTGATTTCGTTTTACTTTTAACAATAATGTTGACTACCAATAACTTTTTAATATTATTAATGACAGCCAGAAGTTATTGTTATAGTTCTATGGCATTAATTATATATTAATGCTGATATCGCATATATATATGAACACGTAAAATTCTGATAGAATGGTAACATTTTCCAGGCAGCGTTCATCCAATGTTCTCTGTTACGACTCATCCATCATACTCCTCTCACGAGCTGTGTCTAGGGAGGTTGGAGACCAGCCCCAGTCACAGCCAAATGTCGAGGAACTCCAGCCGGAAAAGCAGCAATAGCTTACGTGTGAATCAATCAACGAAGATAGAAGGTATATATACTGTATAGAAAGAGATTTTAAATAGAAAAATGATTTCACCTAATACTTTATTAATTACATATATTTATTACCATTATTTCCCAAAGAGGGTTGATGTCAGGCAGGCGGCCGATCGTAAAAACCATTAGCCAAAACTATTTACAACATGTAAGGCAGACTCTGGCAAGGGCTGAAAATTGCCAGGAAGAAGAAGATTTATTACTATTATTCGTTTTCGCATCATGATATTATGTAGTAATGAAATAATAAAAAGAAAGTAGTATTACTCGAAAACTGTAATTTAATTTAAATGAATACACACGCAAACCTTAGATATCATAATGAGATTTCAAATTATAATAATTAAAAATATTTTTTATTGGAAATTGACCAATATTCAAAAACAGAGTCAGGATTTATATTATGTTTTATAGACATGTTTTCATCTACTTAATTCTTACTTACTTAATTCTTTATTTGGAGACCTGTAATACAGGTATTCTTATACCCACCACTGGCTCCAGTCTCTCACAAATGTCTATTTATATAAGATGTCTATTTGTGTATCAAGTATTTTGTGAAGAGAGATAAGAAATGACTTTATCATCATTATTATTATTATTATTTCTTAAAATACTTATATAATCCTTAATATGGGTTTGTATTAGGTAGTAGTCTAAAACTTCAGTAATTTTATTTTGTATTACAGATTTCAAGCACCTAATGCGGCGTCCTTCAACCATTGAAGTTCATACAGCTCGTGTCTCTCTTAAAGACATCGTGTGTTACCTCTCCCTCCTGGAGGCTGGCAGACCTGAAGATAAACTGGAATGTAAGAACACTATCAGCAGATAAGCTGTTATAGCAATAATCATACTGATCATGCCCTTATCTGCTACTTTTAACTAAGATTTATAAAGTACAAATTAAATTTAATTTTTGCTATCATTAAAGTATGTAACAATAGCTCCGATTTTTTCTACAGCATTCACATCATTTTATTCTAATGATTTTTATATAAAAATACCCAATATTCAGTGTTATGCATTAGTAAATATACTGACTGAGGATATTTTGTTCCAAGTGAGCCTCAAAATCTAAATTTCAATATTAATCACTAAGTAAGCTAATATATATCTGTTCTGGTTCATTTCCAGTTATGTTCCGTTTGTACGACACGGATGGTAACGGAGTCTTAGACACCAATGAGATGGACTGCATCGTGAACCAGATGATGACCGTGGCGGAGTATCTTGGCTGGGAGACATCTGAACTTAGACCGGTGAGTCTACACGAACAGGGATGGGAAATATTACTAGATTTAACTCATAGAATAGCTTTGCATATGAATTAGGTACATAATGAGAATGAGATGCTTTAAGACAGCAATGAGTTGAATTTTTGAAGTGAAACTTCGTGAAACAAACGTGATATAATTGCGTTAAACCTTTTACACTCCTTGGATAAAAAGAGCACTAACAAGTCCTAAAAATTGTTAAAGAAATAAAAAATTCCTTAAAAATCAATATCTACCCTTCCTGTTTTCATTCCAACATTACGAAGCTTCCTTCTTCCGCCCGCAGGGACTCTACGCACAATTTTTATCCTTTTATACTTATATATGAGAAAATAATCAATTCATTTGTTGACAGATTCTACAAGACATGATGGTTGAAATAGATTATGACGCTGATGGCACAGTTTCTTTGGACGAATGGAATAGAGGAGGGTGAGTTTAGTTACTTTTTGTAAGTCCTAAAAAATGTTTCATTCTAATGACAGTTTAATTTATTAACATAGCCTGTTAATACTTGCATTCAAATGGATCACAACTTATTCAATGTGTTCCTTTATTATCCACATAAATCGTCATAACTTGATATTGATATCAACTGAAGTATGGTTTTAGGTAGAAATATACAAAACAATGCAAATCACTTCATGTAATATAACAGTATAAAATGGAAATAAAAATGATACTGAATTAACAAGATCACGAAATCCTTACTTGTATTGTAAACGCGAAAGTTTGTATAAGCAAATGTAAGGCAGAATGGACTATTTTTAATCAAACTTTGCGATAATATAGCTTATATTACAGAATACTAGTAGTAGAGGCAATAGCTATACTTTATTTCATATAGTTTCTGCACTAAGTAGAATATAGTATAGTAGAGTTACTGTTGTATTTTATCTGAAAGTGAGTGCCATACTTAGCCCACCATTATTTGTTTCCCTCTGTATGGAGTCCAACGGACAAAGCCACATTCAAAAGCTAGTGTAATATATTTTCATTTCAGCATGACGACAATACCGCTTCTAGTATTATTAGGTTTGGACACCAACGTGAAGGAGGACGGCGAACACGCGTGGAGACTGAAACACTTCAACAGACCGGCGTACTGCAACCTGTGTCTCAACATGCTGGTCGGCTTGGGGAAGAAAGGACTCTGTTGTATATGTAAATAGAATTCATTTTAAAATTATATATTTCCTTTAGTAAGATCCTATTGTTTCTCCTGGAATTATCAGAATTAAATTAAGCATTATATAATATTTGTTTTGTTTTACGGTTTCGACTCTTGTGCAATACAATCTGTAATTTTTTCTTGAAATATGAAGAGTTCTCAAACAAACCATAATTATATTAGGAATATGGATCAAGTCTTTAAGTTATTAAGTTTCAAATCATTCTCAAGTTTCTGTAATGTTATATGAGTGATATATTCCGAATTATTTATATATATGTATGTTTCTTTGTCAGTCTGTAAGTTCACTGTTCACGAGCGGTGCGTGCAGCGAGCGCCTGCATCATGTGTAGCGACGTACTGCAAGAGTAGACGAGCACCAGCCGCACTCGCGCACCACTGGGTCGAGGGTACGTATATACAGACAGACACACAGAGAGAGAGAGAAAGAAATTGTGAGAAAAGGACGGACTGATAGCGAGAGAATGAGAGAGGGATATGGAGAAAAAGAGATGGAGGGAGTTAAAAAGAGGAAGAGAGAGAGGGGTTATAGAAAGATAGACAGATATAAATTAGGGAAGTGTAGTGTATATATGTATCTATACAATAGATATAATACACTGTCTCACGTACCCCACTGGAGGGGGTGGCATGCGCTCGGCAATCTAATGACTAGCGCGGAGTGGAACGGGGACTTGCGCCTGCGCTCTAGGCGGGGTAGTAGTGAGACAGTGACTAGTTATACTTACATGTAGGAACAGGGATCCTACAGGAAGGGAGATATACAAACATAAATACACAAAACCCTTCCTAATTAATATAAAAGTTTATAAAACGTGTGAATTAATAAAATTACTTAACTTCTATGACGTAACTTATGGACCATTAACAGCTTGCGGCTAAGATTTTAAAGCTCATTAATATGCAAATAAATTTTATTTGCATACGTCAGAGGTCATTGAACTTTAGGAAAACTAAAACTAAAAAATTTTATTAATATGTTTCAGGAAACTGCCACGGGAAATGTGCGAGATGTCGGAAGAAAATCAAAGGTTATAACGGTATAACTGGACTACACTGTCGGTGGTGTCATATTACTGTGAGTAATATTAGGAAAGAAGAGAATAGAATAGGATAGAAGAATGTATAGAGCATTTGTTGCAAGTGGCGCCATCTGTGGCGTACTAATTATAATATACTATAATACTAACAATTTTGTAATGTCAATATTTAAGTATCAACTTGTATTTGAAAACTATAAATACTGGCTTCAGCCGTTTTGTTTGATAACTGGAAGTAACGCTGAACATTGAAAAGCAAATCTGCAACTGTACCTCGAACATATATTTATTATATTTACAGTCAATAGATTCTTGTAGGCACATGAGAATATCTAGAAGTTTATCTCAAATTGTGAATATATATAAGTATTGTATGTAGTATTTTCTTCTTCTACCTGGCAATTTCCCAGCTTTAGCCAGGGTCTTACATGTTGTGATTAGTTTTGGCTATTTGTTTTTACGACCGGCCGCCTGCCTGACATCAACCCTCTTTTGGAACAATTGTATTATATAATGTATTATATTTCGTTCGTAGCTCCATAATCGTTGTGTGGGCAGCGCGGGTGGAGCCTGTACACTCGGCAGACACGCGAGACACATCCTGCCTCCGACTGCCATCAGGCCGTTGGTACTAGACAGACAGAGATCACTACCACACAGACATACGCCGGATAAGGTACTCTTATGTTGTAAATACGTTGGAACCTTACTTGTATAAAAAGAGGAAGGAATGGGCATAAGGAGATGACAGGAAAGGGAACAGGGAAAGAATACAGGGTTAGAATCATGTTAGTTGATCATTTCAATAAAACGTCATTACGTAAATTATTTATTTATTTATTGTATTCAATACAATGGAACTAGATCTAAATTATACGTGTTTTCAATTTCAATGGCCATTTAATTATTCTTTGTTATTTCTTATAACTAAAACCGGCACACGAACATGGACCATAAGAAATTAAACCTAATTTTCATGTCCATAATGTATTATTTCAGCAAACCTTGCCAGTGTCGATATCTCTTCCTATCTCCATCGCAGCGACCACAGAAGAAAAGAAAGAAGAGAAGGAGAAGGAAAGAGAACACAGAGCTCCACCTATATCCTTTCAGATAACTCCACCAGAGGGCACTTGTCCGTTACTAGTCTTCATTAACCCAAAATCTGGAGGCAGACAAGGGTCTAGAGTACTTCGGAAGCTCCAGTATATCTTGAACCCTCGACAGGTACATGATATAGCCAAAGGGGGGCCAATGCAAGGTAATAAACCATCATTAGAGAATTTTTATGTCTTTGATTCCTATCACAAAAAGTGTTTTTGTTTCAGGTTTGCAAACATTCAAAGACGTTAGGAACTACAGAGTGATTTGTTGTGGTGGAGACGGAACTGTTGGCTGGGTGTTGGAGACTATGGGTATGTTGATACAAATATTCTGATAGATATAATATAACTACCTATGCATGCAACTTTTTCCGTTCATTGATGTACTAACGAAGTTATTACATGTGCTAAAAATACCACAACTCAATAAACACTCTAATAAATGAACAGTAATATGTTGAATATAGACATATATTTTCTCGCTTGCAACAAAACAGATGTCTATCTCAATTTATAAGTATAAACCTCTTAATATTCATGAAGAACTTCAAATATCAGAAGCTTAACTAAATCTACTATCACAAAACAATCAGTATATAACAGATTTTTGAAAAATAACAATTAATTTTACTCATACAATCATTTTTAAACTTCCTCTACTTTAAGAGCATTTGACGTTGTTACAATTTGTCATACTACCCTCGTACCAAGTTACATCATTGTACATTTTGTTTGTCGTTTTCTCTCTCATGTTTCTTGTATTTCCAGATAAAATCCAGATGGAGTGTCGTCCAGCGGTCGGCGTCATCCCTCTTGGTACCGGCAACGACCTGGCCAGGTGTCTGCGGTGGGGTGGGGGGTGAGAATTAATCATAACTCCTTATACTGTTTCATACAAATCACATAATAAATTATTGCAAGTCAATTGAGATTAATTGTAATACAATAAAAAGTGGCTATAAATATTAATGCTTATGAATCATAAAGTTGTTTTCATTATTTATAAAAGTCACTTTAAGTGCAAACTTGAATTGATAAAGAATTTATCGTTTCGTTTTTTGGTGTATGTGGAATATTCAAGAACTATTTACTGGCGTATCTGTTTATCGATGTAACGCAAAGTTTAGCTGCGATTAGTTTCGTAAATTTAACCTTCGTGATATCCAATCAAGTTGAAAATTATATTTTCGTAGTCTTTTTAATTGTTTATAAGTGATCTGATTAAAAAATACATGAATAATGTATACCTGGAATTCAATTTATTTGTATCTGCTCATTGATTCTACATTTTTATATGAAATACATTTAGCATTGCTATCACCACGAACATCATACAAATAATTTTAGCAACAATATTGTATGACGTACCCAACAAACTGTTTAGTGTGTACCCATGTACATTTTTCAATTGCTTTTCGGAGATAAATAAAAAAACGAACATTACTTAAACTCTGTAATATTTTGAGATCTAATATTTTCGCGAGTACTCATTTAAATGAAACTAATATTTTCGAATTTACATCTCGTCTCGTCTGTCCGTGATCACGGTTGCTGTAAAGTAACCGTAACGTCGGGAGTATGTATGTAGTTTATGGTCCAAAATAAAAACCCGCGTAGTCAATCCGAAAATATTAGTTTCATCTATAATATTTTTAAAGAATTCTATTAAGTAATAGTAATAAAACACCCAAATAAATCTCTTTAATCTAGAAGTGTATACTCAGGTATGAAGGCGAATCAATCCATAAGATTCTGGACAAGATAGGTCGCGCCAGTACCGTCATGATGGATCGATGGCACATACATGTTGAGAATTCAACGGATGAGGTGAACTTACTACTATACTATACAATAGTTAATCAGTTACTATAACTATAAATTAATCTCTTTATATAGAAAAGGACCAAGCGTTGACAAAGGACCAAATTTTTTCAAATGTATATACCACGCTTAATTTTTTTGCATGAGAAACTTTAAGAATTTTGAAAACTCAATTTTACTATATAATTGGTAATACAAACTGCTTAATAATACTAATGAAATTACGCATTAATATTATCAAATATCCAACATTAGATTTTCATATTATTTTTGGGTATGGACCATATTAGTGTACAAAAAATATTAGAATTACTGAATGTATTGAAATATCATCTTCATACAATAAAATGTTGATATTCAATCTTTATGTTAAAATCCTTTCGTTCCAGGTGGAACAGCTTCAGATGCCTGACTCAGCTCCTCACCCTACATCTGTACCATACAACATCATCAACAACTACTTCTCCATAGGCGTTGTGAGTACAAAATTTTTTTTTTTTTTTTTTTTATGTCAAAGTTGGCAGACGAGCAGACGGCCCACTTGATGGAAGGTGGTTACCGTCGCCCATGGACATCCGCAACAAAGATGTTGCGGATGCGTTGCCAACCTTGTTTTATAGGGATAAGGAGGGGTGGGAATAAGGATATTGTAGGAAAGGGTGGGAATAGGGAAAGGGCAACCAGCTCTCTCACTCATCGGACGAAACGCAGCCATTAAAGGCTACTTCACGCCGATCTTCTGTGAGAGGGTGGTACTTTCCCGGTCGAGCCAGCCCGTGTTCGAGCTGTAGTAACTAACCACAGCTAGGCTCTACCACCTAAAACAAATTATAATATACATATGTCCCATTAATTATATAGGTGACAACTGGAGGTTCAGGTTGCCGTCAGGCTATTGAAGGTAACTTTGTAGATTGTTTAACGAATCCCTTAACCTCGAAGAGGTCCGATTCTATAACGTCTCGAGCAAGACTGTCTTTAATCTTTACCATCGCCTCTATTTATACCAACTAACACATTATTGTGACTACACTTACACAAGTAGATATACAGGAAACACCTGATAATTTCAACTACACTAAGTCATTGCTTATTTGAATAATATCAATTGCGCCGATATATACATTAAAATAATTCCCAACATGGCCTTATTAATCCAGACTTCAATTAATGTTCTGCCTCTTAGTACTTATTCATATATATATATATACATATATTTTATATAGTATCCTTTCCTCCAGGACGCCGCTATCTGCGTCAAGTTCCACACGGAGCGTGAACGGAACCCGGACAAGTTCAGCTCCAGGATGAAGAACAAGCTGTGGTACTTCGAGTTCGCGACCTCGGAACAGTTCGCGGCCAGCTGCAAGAACCTGCACGAGAACATCGAGCTCGTGGTGAGATGGCTCGAGTAGACCAAATATACAAAAGATTTCCCTTTACGTGACCAAAGTAGCAATGTTTTACATCTAACTATGTATTGTTAAGACCAAATTATAGTATCTCATTGACCATTCCAACGTAGATGTACTTGAACAGAACTTGATTTAGAAGCCTTAAGATATTAAGTAATGTAATGAAACTTAATAATGAACCTTACATTCAGTGTGACGGAGTTTCCCTCGAGCTGAACAAGGGTCCCGCGCTACAGGGAGTCGCTCTGTTGAACATACCTTACGCACACGGGGGGTCCAACCTGTGGGGGGCCAGCGGGGCCCATAGACGGGGGAGGTTCCCGGACGCGCAGCAAGGTGACACACACACGCACACACAGACACACACACACACACACACACACACACACACACACACACACAAACTTAAAGAGATTTAAATACAGCACACACACGCATATATAATAGTGACAAGTTTTTGGCCGCGACTTCGTCTACGTTATTATGAAAGTTAAAAATGTATCAGACCGATCAAACTCTGAACCTCCTTAAAGGCAGTAAATAAGAAGATTTTGGATTTTTTTCAGCTTTTCTTTCAATCGTATGATAAGTATCTCTTCACCAATTTTTAGCTAAACCCCTAGAGCCGTTCTTGAGTTATAAATAGTGTAACTGATACGACTTTCTTTTATATATGTAATCGTTACTTATGTTATAGATATTGGTGATAAGCTGATAGAAGTCATCGGCCTGGAGAACTGTCTGCACATGGGACAAGTTAGGACAGGTGGGTCTACTTACATATATGACAACAGGATTCAAACCTTTGATTAATATCTTAGTATTATTCAGAATAGAGAGTAAACATTAATAATAATTTAATGGTTAAAGATCTTAATTCTCATAAGAACATACATAGGTTCACTTACATGAGATTAAATAATGTTACACACGTAGATTAAAAAATATTTGATATATGGAATGGCTAATACTACTTAACATTGGGTAATATATATTTTAAGTTTATTTTAATGATGATTCAATTAGATAAAGTTTGAATTCCTTATTACTGATATTTGAAGACACATGATCGAGAATAGTTTTTGTTCTTGAAGTTTCACGAGTACAACATTTTTCATCAATTTTATTCAGTATCTCATACCCCGCTTCATGGAGATTGGTTACGTATTGTTCGATATTTTTGTCTGTGCTCAATAAATCTAAATTTGTCACAATAATTATAAAAATTCAATAAATTGTCAACACAAACGCGATTTAAAAGAATGAAGACAGCTTCTCATGTGTCTTTAAAATTGACATTGAACCTTGCTCATACTTACATATGTATATGTTTTAACATATTATGATGCTTATTAAATATAACTCACATATTTATTTGAGCGTATAATTTATCTTAGTTCTAATAAAGTTTTATCAGGAAGAGGCTAGGTCAGGTTTCAATAGAGCCTAAAATCTTTTAATTATGATGTAGAACATTCTAGAATAGTTCGACCCAAAAATAATATGTACTCAAAGAAAACACTATAACACAGGGCTACGAGCGTCAGGACGGCGTCTTGCCCAGTGTAGTAGCATCAGACTTATAACGAAAAGGACCTTCCCCATGCAGATTGATGGAGAACCATGGATGCAGCCGCCTTGCAAGGTAAGGGAAGATAATAATTTAATATAGTCCAAAAAACTTAGTTTGGAAACAAAAAGACGTTAAATTAATAGAAAATACAAAAAAAAAAGAATAAGACAAAAGTAGGTGAACATTTAAGATGTCTTCTCATGTTTTTGAGTTCAGAAGCACCAACAAAAATATTACATAAATTTTAATAGATTAACTAAGACTATTTGAAAATTTTTGCTCTCTTAAGAGGTTTAAACCTAAATAAATTTTTTAGTTGAAAATTATAACAAATTTTTTTTGGCAGCAGTTGTTTCATAGATACTGAGATTGTCAATAATTTTCAGATAACAATAACCCACAAGAACCAAGTTCCGATGCTGATGGGACCAGCTCCCGAAAAGGGAAGGAGCTTCTTCAAACTGTTCACGCACTGCTAAGTCCCTCTCACACCCATTCCATTTAAAGCTGGCCAGAAAGAGATAGATGTACGATATAAGTTTGTCCATAGAAAAAACATCTCGTTGTTAGCATTTTAGTTCAATAATGACCACAACCCAACATGGCTTCTTCATAGCTTTCTAATCGAGGCTTGTACCAAAATTATACGTCCATTTTTGCAATTTTAAATAATATATTTACATGGCAAAATAGGATAAGCGTTTTTTTTTTAGTTTTTCTGTTTGTTTAAGATAAATTTATCTTTTAAAGACACGCTGAATAGTTTTTTGATCTATTTCCGTAGTAATCCTCGCGTCATCTATAAGTTCAAATGATTTGTCAATCAATCGCCATTTTGTTGTATCATCGGCGTATTTGTTAATATATATTAAATGTTTTAATATCTGTGTATTGAAGATATATACGTGACTGTTTTTATGTTTTGTAAATATTATTATTAACAATGTAACTGTAATCTCAAACGACGGGTTTTAATTTTTAGCTTATATTATAGTTTTAGGGTAAGTTTTTTAAATTTTTTAGAGCTTTTTTCGAACTACCGTCCATTGTGATGCTCTCGGTGTGAGTTTGACTTGACGATGTGTGAAATTTAGTTCGAAAATCTTATTGACAAATATACCTTCATAGGCTATATCAATAAAGAAGTATTAAGGAATGAGTTACTACTCTTAATGCAGTTACTACTCTTTGTTCCTTTCCTGGAGTAAAAAAATGATTAAACACCTGGAATAGCCTTACAGGTGGCCATTAGCAGCAGTTAATTGAAAATATACTATTAAAGTTATTTTAAACTCTGAATTACTTTTTATTGTTAATTGAACTCATACCGAGGGAAAAAAATCGAGTCCTTTAAAAAATATCACGCACTTTTAATAATTTGTATGCAACCTTACGTATTTTAATTCTGATATTTTAAGTAGTTAATACAAATGTTGTGTAAGTTTTTGTTATTTTCTAAGTGTTGGTGTTTGAACGACTATATGGCGGTCAGCGAATATTGAGTTCTATTAAAAATATAATTTATTATAGATATTATATAAAAAATCTAGGTATAAATATCAATTTATTGTTTAATTTATTATTAATCGAATTCTTTATATTATAAAAACTTTTTTGAAGAAAACTACTTATATTAAAATATATTTTAGTATGGCAACATTCGCTGAACGTCAAATATCAGATCGATGTAAACGTTGTTAATGATTTTTCTGTCGCGAATATTTACCTTTTACAGCTTTAATAGATGTAAGAAATATATTATTGTATATTGTAAAAATATATGTGCATTTAAAATAATTGATCGTTTTTCTAGTGGTTTCATTTAACTGAATATATTATTTAAATAAAGATATATAAGACGGTGAAGGAAAACATCGAGAGGAAACCTGGACTTATAATTTCACAATTACAAGTTTGAAATCACCAACCCGTCTTGAGCAAGCGTGGTGATTAATGCTCTAACCTTCTCCATGTGAGAAGAGGCAGCTCAGCAGTGGGCTCTGATAGACTGATGATGTTATATTTAATACTAGCTTTTGCCGCGACTCCGTCCGCGTGGAATAGTGACTTCCGACAGATTTTTGGTTCTTCTCACATAGTTCCCGTTCTTGCGGGGTTTTCGGAATGGTCGAGTTCCCGTAGAGTTTTTCAGGATAAAACCTATGTTTTTTTTTAATTCACAATGAAGTACTCTTAATCAACAACATATGTATTTGTTTATTTGAATAAAGTTTTATAAAATTATTTCGACCAAATTAGGTACCATAAAAACGGTTTTTGTGAGTTAATCTTAAAAGATAGATATACACTGTCGCGCACTGTTTTTTAGATCATTAAAAGAGCTATTATTCTTTAATACATATATTTTTTGTGTATCTTGAACCATTTTCACGGCGCACGCTACGGAAAGCTTCAAACGTGAAATAATTTCTCCCGTTTTTTACACATTTACCACTATATCCTTGCTCCTATTGGTCGTAGCGCGATGTTATATAGCCCACAGCCTTCCTCGATAACTGGACTATCCAACACAAAAAGAATTATTCAATTCGAACCAGTAGTTTCGGAGATTAGCGCTTTCAAACAAACAAACAAACTCTTCAGCTTTATAATATTAGTATAGATGAATAAAAATACTTGTGGTATGGCAACACTAAACTTTCAAAATTCAGTGAGTGTATAAAAAAGCAATTAGTATTAAATTATTTTTGTAACAATAATGATATATATACCGACGTTACTTATCATTTTGAAGCCTTCATTAATAAACTGAGATTGCTTTATACCAATTAAAAAGTTTAAAACCGGTTTTTCGTTTGAACAGTAATATAATATTTACTAATTACGTGTGTATTTGAAATTGTAGAACAGAAAATGATTTTCTTAAGACTGATTATTGTCACACTATGATGAGTGTTGCCATTAACGTACAGAAAAAATATTTTTGAAGTGAAACTTTTTATGACTCCCAACAAGGTTGCGTTAAACGTTTAACGCTCCTGGGGGGATGAAAAGAGACAGAGCGAGAGGTAATGCGTGTCGCTCGAACGAATGCGGACAATCAATAGTGACTTGTAAGTAATGTTAATAAAGTTTGTTTTAAAGAAACACTCAAAATTCCTTAAAAATCAATTTCCACTCCTTCCCGTTTCCATTCAACCTAACGAAGTTTCATTTCTTCAACGCGGAGTGACTCCACGCACTATTTTTTTATATCCATTACTTAAATGAAATAAAAAAGTTTTATAGTACCTTTAATTATCTACATGTTTAAACTTTATCTTTATTTATAGTTAAAATTGTATATGCTTATACAGTAACATAATGACAGCATCTTTTAAAATATTATTTATTACAATTCTCCATTATCATAATCTGTCGTTCATTTCAACCAAACGCAAACAAAACACCAGTTCTTGTAATAAAGATACAATTTCTCATTTAATCGCTACATCTCGTCCAACCGCAGCCTGTTATTATAAAAAACTTTAAATGTCAAACAGCTGTCAATGTCACGGGACGTTTTGACAGAAGTAATATCAGATAGATATATATTTTAATGCATTAATGGCGTGGATTTAAATTTTTGTGCTGAAGTCGCGAGCTACAGCTAGTATGACATATAATATATATTACGAACAAAAACACAACGAAAGATTCAGAGACAAAATTCATTCCTTAATCATCTAATTATTTAATTCAATCATCTTATTAAAATTCTTTAATTCAACACGTACAACAACTTGTACATACATTAGAATCTTATTTCAACTTACGGCTTACCAGTCGTTCTTACCAAAGTTAAGCTAATATTATTTACGAAATTATCTTTTAACTTTACAACCAAGAATTAAACGCGTAAATTAATTAACAAATCGTTGTGTAGCATCTTTAATTACTACTATGAACCCACATACAAATGATAGCATATTTTTAAATACCTTCATCCCTACTTATATTATAAATGCGAAAGTAACTATGTCGGTCTGTCTGTTACGCTTTCACGCCTAAACCACTGAATTGATTTTAATGAAATTTGGTACAGAGAATATAGAGTTGACCTTGACAAAGGATAGTTTTTATCCCAGACTTTTGATAGGTTCTCTTGGAAACGCGATATAACCGAACTCCACGCGGGCGAAGCTGCGGGTGGAAAGCTAGTATATATATAATTAAAATACAATAGTAGTCAGAATGTTCAAACATCGGCCATGACAGTTGTTCGGTTGCATTCCTTGTAAAGGCCGTTACTATGTGGGCGTGTTTGTTTTAATTTAAATGAAATTTCGATGTTGGTATTAATATTCATAATATTTACAAATTAATTATGTGCAATTAGAGGTTCTAGGAATACTTCGAAACATACTTATATGTATATTATAATAAGAATTACATATTAAAACTTATAACCTACACCTAAGACTACATGATTGACCCGATGTTATGATAGCAATACCATTCTATAGCTTGTGTGTATCAGGAATCTTCTGGTTCACACGGCTTGGTGTTCGTTCCGCGGAGTCAGCGGCGTCACTCGTTATATATTTTATACATACAACAATATTGCCTCGGCGATGTTCATTATATATACATATAATTCGTGAGTAAGAAGTTTATAAGTCAATAAATTGTTTAGATAAAATCGTTTTATGAAGTCTGCCTGATAAGCTTATATACTTTATATTGGTACAAAACTCATTTTTCTTATTGAATTACTGATTATATATTCGTTAAAATATATAATTTGGGTCTTATAATAATAAAAAAATAGTAATAATTGACAATTTATCTTTACTATATGTTAAATATGGTTTTTTTTACGTATTTTACTAGTAACTATGTTTGTGCTACTAAGAATGATATACGTCAAACACCCTGTATATAGTTTGGTTATATAGAGAGAGGAGCTTAGACAGTGGAGGTGAGCGTTTAACGAGTTAGATAGGGTCCCTTAAACCTACACCTGGGTCACAAGTCCCAGTCACTGTTGAAGCTCCTCTCACTACAACGATGGACCCGACACACGCACCGTGAATACATGGAATGATGAGAGGTTTCGTCTCTCTATATAT